CCCCCTCCTCCCCGCTGCTCTCGTCCGGGGCCGGAAACCTGCTTCCAATTTTCATCTGCGCCTCCAGGCGTTTGTTTTGTCCCAGGCATCGCTCTCTGCTGTTGATTTCCTTTGTTTTTTCCCTGAGTGTTTACATATCCCCCCTCATGTTCTTGTTTTTAGTTACATAAGCTGAACCACATCCGTCCTGCATGATACAAGATCTCCATGCTCTGGTCTGTGGCATCCTTCCTGTGGGCATCTTCTCATTTGAGTTATTTTCTTCTGAGGAGATGCCACATGCAGGACTTTAGACAGTCTTCTCAGGCCCGTATATGAATACTAACATTTTCCTGTCATTGCCGAAGACACAGTGACTGGACTCGCACTTGTGTCTTTCAGAGTCACGCACACTGGCAGCTCCTTATCATCCTGCAGTTAGGAGCAGCCCAGTCCTTTTCCTCTTCACTCCTTTCTTGCTATGATGCTAACAAAGACCTAAAATTATTACTCTGTGTTTGCCTGAACTTCCAGTTTTATACTGTGCTAAGCATTTGCTGTTCTCTAGTCCTCGAGCGGTGCCTCCAGGCCAGTAAGTGGACTTGAAACGGCTGCACCTGCAGCTGTGCTTGGCGGTGCACCTCTTTTCAGGGTCCTGGGATCATGACTGTCTCATTCCACCAGGCAGAGCACAGTCAGCTCCGTGAGCTTCGCTTGCTGCCTGGCTGCACTCGTTTGTTTTGTTGGGTTCATTTTTGCTTTCTACCCCCCCTTAGACATCCTGACTTGACCCTATGGATTAGCATGATCATTCTTAATGAAAATCAGGGAAGCACTCAGTTAGCTGTGAGTCAGTAGCTACTGAACCTTTATTTTCCGTCACGTTCTTGCTGCACAGTAAAGCTTTTTTTTTTTTTTTCTTTTTCCCCCTCATTTTTTAATTTCTCTGGTTGCAGTAGTTTTTTTTTTTTATGTTTGTCTCAGTTTGCTTTTGGAGTTCTAGCTCTGGCTGATTTGGGGCATTAGCTCTTCTTAGTTTGACTTCCTTTTTGGTTATCCATCTCACTTGCGCTCGAAGCAGAGTAAGGAACGGTGTGCCTCCAGGTTTGTGAAACTTGAGCTGGAAAATTACAAGTTCTGTTTCTCGGCACAGAGACCAGTACTACCAAAGGAGATTAAATGCAAAGAGCTGCCAGTTGCAGAGCAATATAGACTTTGCCTCAGCTTGAGGAATGAACAGTACCCGTGAGGTGTTTTGTGTGGGGGAACTGTGGTAGCTGTGGTAGTTACAGCAGGGAAAGGGCTACTAGGTGCTGAATAGGCCTAATGTAGCATGGACTTCAGGGCAAAAAGGAAGCCGTATGATGTAATCCTGTCATTTTGCATTATTATGGGTTCACTGAGCATCCTATTCTATCAGAAGCCCCAAGGACAGATTGAGTAGGTTATTTCTGTGTCCTAAGGGTCTTAATTTCTAGCGGCATTGGCTAAGCAGCTCCTCCAGAGCTTTGGTTGCAGACAGCAGCATCTGGATGACATTGTGTTCACCTTCACCTTGCAGGACAGAAGGGGAGTGCTTGTAGACTAATGGGTGTTTTTAAAATGCATAATTCATGTAGAGGATGTGGCATTTTAGTACTGTCATGGTGACACCAAGGCTTTTAAGACAGATGTGTAGGTGTATCTAAGATTGTTCTTACCCTATGTCTTGCACAAAATGAAACTGGACATGGTTTTCAGGATGTGAGTTGCAGCAGGATCTTCACAAGTCTCGCTGCTGTTGTTCTTTACTTCAAGTCTCCACTACTTACAGTGTCAGTTTACTTACAGGATCAGGTTCAGCTCAGCTGTCTGGTGCCTATTCAGATACCATAGGTCCTGCCTTTAGAGTCTGCTTTTAACATGCCAGAGTTAATTCACCTAAGTTACAATATTGAGAAGAATTTGGCTGCAAATGCCAAATATTTCCTGTTCTGTGCCCTTTAATAATAAATTAACAATTTATTAATAACAGCAATAGATGCTTGGAAGGAAAGCAGTCATCTGGCATGACTGACAGATTTTCTTTCTCAGAGAGCTTCAAGCAGGGAAGGTTCCCAGCAGCACAAAGAACAGGATGAGAAAGGGAGGAGCATTAGTCTTGCACGTGGCGGATAAGAGGCCAAGTCTGTTTCGATATCTTTTAAGTGGCTGATTTTGATTTCAGGGATTTGGCCTGGTGGAAATGTTCAAAGTGTGACAAGTTCTCCTTAGGAAAACTAGACATGTCCTCAGCCTGCTTGCCCTTTTTTTTTTTTTTTTTTGCATGTTCCGTTTCACAGATTAAACACACAAAAAAAATGCAATATAAATTTATTCTAGAAGTGACAATCAGAGCCTTTCCACGGACCTCAGATAGTTTTTGATAAGGCTTTGGTTGAACAGAAGAAAATGATGGCATGTATGGCACATTCTCATTATACTTTTTTTTTAACTTATGAGATACTGATTAAATGTTTATCTTAAAAATAAACTCCAGAGATATTTATACCAGGTGAGTTTGATGTGAGCCTCTTGCTATTTTCCTGATATGTTCGTAGATTTGTATATTTTGCTGATGTGTCAGAGGTTTTACATGGCAAAGTGAAATTTCTACACTTCTTGTCACTTGCTAAGGTCCTTGTTCCCGAAAGACTAAGTCCAAGCTGGTGTTGATTGCTGCTGCAGTGAACAGTGATACCAAGCCACAACGAACATGTTTGGTCCAAGAGCTACAGCCCAGCTGGGAGGCTGCTGGTAAACCTAAGCAGGCCTTGGTGCTCACCAGCCCTGGAAAGTCACTGGAATCTCTCTGCTCTGAGGTCTTCATTCTGTGTCTCCATCATCCAAATCTTGCAGTTTATAAGTATTTCTAAGTATTTCGCTGAATAAGATGCATGAAGTTGTTTTGCTTTCCATAAAATCCTCATTTTGTGTTCTTCAGTTTCCATAGTATAGCCACGTAATGCCCTTTGAATGCCCTCCTGAGAAAACTAAAAGCTAAAAATAGTAATTTCCTTCTTAGTTTATACCAGCAGGTAATTCTACCCATAACTAATGAGCTGTGATCACTTCAGGGTCCCTCTCCTTAGCTGCTTCCCTGCATGTGTGGTACAGCAGGGACACTGGTATTACCAAGATCTAGAGCTTGTGCTGCTTTGCACCGTCCTTTCTTTGCACTGTCATTGTGGCAAAGAGAGGGAGGGCTAATTGATGCAATTGTCATTTCCGGATATTTCTCCATATGTATTTCTACAACCTATTTATAAATGTGCACTGGGGCTGTATAAATGGAGACGTGTGTAAATAATCAATAATTTCCAAAACACTTCTGTTAAATGCATTTTTGGATTGCAAGCTATGTTCTAGCTGACACCTTTCCTACTCAGGACTTCCAAGATAGAGCAGTTTTCCTTTTTCCATTAAAATGTTGTGTATGTTTCCAGAAATGGCAGCAATGGATTATGCATTCAGTATAAAGCTAAAGCAAACTTTATGTCTTGTAATAGCTTCATTGTGAAGCTAAAGCATATTATCGCAAGCACTGTGGATAGCTGCAGTTTAGCCCATGCTGTGAGCTGGGCTAAGCAGAGTGCGTGACATGGTGTCGCCTCGCTGAGGGAAGGAGCTTACTCATGGAAGCGTGAGTCACTGCGCAGGATCCTTCAAGCCAAACCCATTCCTTCTGGGCTGTGCTCAGTATTTATTCGTTTAGTTAGGAACTGCAGGAAATGGGATTCTCCAATAAAAAGCCCGGTCAGACAAAAAGGAAAAGGCAGCCTGGCATGAGCCGCTATTCGGTCTTTGCCTGAGAGAGAGCTAAGCCAATTCAGCACCTGCCTCCCATTGACTGTTGGGAGAGTGTAATCATTCTTGTATCCTCCTTCCCCAGTTCTGCGCAGGCAGCAGCAGAATCAACTATTACTCAATTATTACTCTTATTTGCCTTGTTCTTGGGTGCCTGGCAGGTTGCAGTAAGGAGAGACTTTCTATAAATTACAGTAAGAAGGCTGAAGGGATATGAGAAGAGGGCTCCTGACCGCTGCCACTGCTACTTGCCAATTCCAGAGGGCAGGCAAGTTCAGCAGCAAAAGGTCAGAGGCATGTCCCTGTAGTCCGACTGGAGCAGAGACCCCTTTGCTCTTACTTTAATATTCCTATTCATTCTGCAGCTGTCAGCTTTGATTTTCCTAGGATCTCTTTAGGGAACTTTACATGTCAACAAGTTGGTCAGCTTGGAGTAAAGTGCAATGCAGAGTCCTGCAATTCAGTTCATTTGAAACAGAAGGCATTTAATAGCACGGTATTATTTCCCTGCAGTGGAAAACTTAGGTCATTGGGGAGCTCCAGGTAAGAGAAGAGATAACAAAGAAGATGGTGTTGGACCCATCAAGGAATATGGAAGCATACTAGCATGTTGGGCAGACTCAGTAAATAAAAGGGAGATCTGTTACTCAGGACACTGTAACAATTGTACCAAACATACTATCTGCCTAAGGCTTTTGCTTTCTCAAAGGTACCTTTGTAGCATCTCGCACCTTGCATATCTTGTTGAGCGTCAACATAGTCATAATGGTAACAGTTTCTCTCCCATCAGAAAATAGCCATGGCTAAACCCTCTCATTTCTGTGAATCCAAATTCCAAGATACCTGGTTTGGACCCAGGGGAACCTGCTGGAAATTCCTGTGGCTGACAAGTGGCCATGCAACTCATTAGAAAGCAGAAAGTCTCTCTCAGTGCTACACACAGGCTTGGCAGAGGAACCCCCCGTATGGCCCAGCCTACAGCAAGACCTGACCCCATCTCATTGTCCCTTTAATAGGGTTAGGAGACAGTTCAAGGCTCTACAAGAGGAGGCTCTTACTTAGGTAATATAAAGCTGTGAGGTCAAGGAAGTTCTGGCCAGTGAAAATAGTGTGGTCTGGATTTTCATCAAGGGCTCTTCAGTTCCTCTGTGTCTACATGGGTCTTGGAGAATGGACTCCAGTTCTGTATGTGGAATAGAGCGAGAAGGCCAGAGATCAAGAAAGGACTGCTCCCTGTGTTTACAACCTCCTTTCCAGGGCCTGGATTCTCCTCCTGCCTCACAATCTTTCCCACACACTGAGCCTGGTAAAACTCCCCATGTGTGTAGCTAAGGTATATATCTGTGAAGTACTTTGAATAACAAATGCTTCTCTTTTCCTTAGGGAAAGCAGTGCACAAAGGAACTTGTAGCTTGCAAAGCTCACTTAAAGAATGGAAGTAGGTGGCCAGAGTCACTTCCATTTCAATCCACACACAAGCCACACCTGAGGCTCTTTAAAAGAGCTGCAGCTGGGCTGGGTCACCCCTAAGAGAGCAGTCCTGAGGGCTGGGTCATGGAGTTAGATTCTTCTGCACCTCTTGCATGAGAGGAGTGACTTGATGGTCTCTGCACAAGGTACTCTCTTAGATCTTTGTCTTTGTGGCTTGCTCTGTGTGCGAATGCAGAGCCTGTGGTGTGGACGGGGAAAGGCTGGTAATGTGCTAAGCTACTACCAGGCACGGTTCTTGTGGGCCACCAATATTATGTGTTCTGCCAGGCGACAGTTCAAAAATTCTGCTGCTTGGGCTTTTCGATTTTATGTTGTTTAACTGTATCTTTAAAATCAAAGAGAGGCTAAGGGGAAGAAAGTACAAACAAATTCCTTAATGACCTACTTCTCCTGGCTTGTGCCGTCTGTTAGGGATGTGTTTTGCATCGTCATCTATCCAGATGTAGCTGTAGCTCTATGTGCTGTAGCTCTATATTAGTTGGCTACTTGAGGCATGTAGCAAACTGCCCTTCTTCCAGGGGTGGCCCATGGGTGCTTCAGGCCTTGTTCCCCCTGCAGCAAAGCTGCGTGTGAGCCCTGAGCTTGGCTGCAGATTCCCAGCTTCGTTGGCAGGAGAATGGGGATCATCTCTGGTCTGCCTCATGAGAGTGTTAATTTTCTTTCATTCCTTTTTTATTTAAAGACCACATGCTCTTTAACTGAAATAACATACAGAAGTCTCTGTACTACGACATGCTGGAGGTCTAAGGCTGGGCAGAGAGTGGTGCAGCCTCATAGCCTGCACTGCTAACATATGAACAAGCCTTTGCTTCATCTCACAGCATAGTGAGAGCATTAATATACTACAGGGAGGTACCAAGCTGAGCATCGCTGCAGTGGGCACGGCCTCACTTTATAGGCAGCATACAAGCCCATCAGAGTCCCTCTTGAGGGGGGGCTCGCTGACTAAAGAGAGAGAACAGGAAGCAGAAACACAGAAATGTGAAGATATCAGCACATTCCATGCTTGTATTAGTAAGACATGTTCTTCAGTAGCATCACACGCATTCTAGCAGGCTCTTATTTCTCCCAGGTGATCTTTTTACTTATCTTCCAATTTTAAATAATAGAAAATGAAAGTTTGTTGCTTGCCAGCGAGTCACCCTCACAGTACTATGCTAAGTCTGGAGTTGCTGGTTTGTGGGTTTGTTCCTGTATTTAGATGAAGCTGCACAGATGTATAGCAAACCTTAGTGAGGGATAGCCTTGCTGTTTTGCAAGCTGTGGTGAATCTTGCTCAAGGAGGTGGCTGTTAGCAAAGGGAACAAGCCCCTGAATTTGAGATCTGACAAGGGGAATTGTCCTGTAGAATTTGTTGTTTCTTTAGCTTGGGGCTAGTCCTAAAAGCACCAGCGTGCCTG